GAAGAATAGAGAGAGAGACACAAAGAGAGAAAGAGAGGAAGAAATAGACACAAAGAGAGAAAGAGAGGAAGAAATATACAGAGAAAGATAGACTGAGAGAGAGAGAGATGGAGAGAGAGAGACAGAGACAGAGAGAGACAGAGACAGAGAGTGAGACAGACAGAGAGACAGATAGTGAGGATGGGGGGGAGAAAAAGATAGAGGGATAGAGACAGAGAGAGATAGAAACAGGAGACAGAGGGACTGAGACAGAGACAGGCTGAGACTAAGACAGAGAAAGAAAGAAAGAAATAGACTGAGACAGAGATAAAGATGGGGAGAGGGATGGAAGGAGGGAGAGAGAGAGAGAGATTCCAGCTCCTAGAATAAGGCTTGGCCACAACTGCTGCTTGTTCTCTCTACCCCATCCCTTTATTTCAAACATATCTGAATTGTTTGTGACCTTCCCAAGATAAACACAATATGATCCAGAAGGAAAAGCTCCCTATATAATAATACATAACACTAATCACAGCAGCTCAGGGGGCAATGTGTTGTAGAGGCTGGAGAGATGGCCCAGAAGCCAAGAAGCTGTGGGTGCAAATCCCTCTTCAGCCCCATTGGGCTCTGACTCTGGGCAGGTCAGCTTCTCTCCCAAGTCCCCAGGAACTCTTTGAGATGCTCAGCTGCTTGGGATGGAGGGAGTTTCACAAATGGGAGTTTTCATAAGGAGACTGGAGACACTACAGGCCTGGCCCAACAAAGACAGCTACATTTGGGTAGCATTGTAAATTTTCCAAAGGAAGGCAAGCTCACTGTGTGCAGAGAGGCTTCTCCACCCCTGACTTTCTCATCAGATATTCATAATAACTCTTTGCTTAAAAGTGGCTTATTTTATCTTCTTCTTCCTTCTTTTCAGCTATTTACTTACCGGGTCCTGTTGTGTCTACCTTAGAAACATCTTTCCATTTTCTTGGTCACCCACTCACCCCTCATCTCCACTGCTTGCAATCCCTAGATTTCCTCCAGGCTCAACCTCCTTGGCAGTGAGGTACACTGGAAAGAATTCTGGCTTTGAGGTCAGAGGTCCTGGGTTTAAATCTCACTTCTGCTACTTATAAATGGTTTCCTTGGGTAAGTCTTTTAAGTTCCCTGCCCACCTCCTCCTTCCCCTGCCTTCGGCAACATGAGAGAGTTAGACTAGATGGCCTTTGAGATCTCCTCTAGAGCTGAGATCTTTGAGCTGGGTTTCACTATAACTGGTTTCCTCTGTAATCTTTTGCATTTTATTTTATGCATTTAAAACCACAATTCTGAGCAGGGGTCCATAGACTTCGCCTGACTACCCTAAGGACCCAAGATCCAAACAAAGGCCAAGAACCCTTGCTCTAGGCCTACCTTCTTCACGAAGCCTTTCCTGATCCCCCAGTTGTTAATGTTTTTTCCCCCCTTCCCCCTTCAAATTAGCTTACCCTTACTTATCTGTTTACACATCCCATTTCCCAGTAGAATGCACATTTCTTGAGGACAGGGACCATTTCATTTCCATATCTCCAGAGCTCAGTGCAGGGCCCCATACATAGCAGGTACATAATAACTTACTAGAAAAGCATCCTAACTGGTCCTCCTGCTTCTAACTCCTCCCCTATCTAATCCAGCCTGCACTCTATGGCCAGATTAATCTGCCTAAAATGCAAATTTTATCATGTCCCTCTCTTCCTCAAGATACTTTGGTAATGTGCCAGCTCCCTCAGGAGAATGTCCTAGTTCCTTATAGTAGCTCTCATGGCCATCTACTTTGGCCCCATTCTTGTAACTATGCCCCAGTCTAATCTGTCCCATGAACAGGCCATTTTCAAGTCTACCTTCATGGTGGTTGACTCTATCCTTCTTGCCTGGAGGGCCGCCTTCTCCTTCCTATCTACCTTCATCTCAAGAGATCCTTTAAGTCCCTGCCCAGCTCAGCTCTCTCCATGAAGACCTGTCTGCCTTCTTTGTTTCTCCTCATATCCTCCTTGATCTCCTAAAGAATTAAATATCCCTAATACCCACTCTTAGATTCTCCATGGCCCTTTCCGTGTACCTCTCTTGGAGCCTTGTAGAAGGCAGCTAGGTGGCTCAGTGGATAGAGCACTGACCTAGGAGTCAGGAAGACCTGAGTTCAAATCTAGTCCCAGACACTTACTAGCTGTGTGACCCTGGCCAAGTCATTTCACCCTGTTTGCCTCAGTTTGCTCATCTGTAAAATGAGCTGGAGAAGGAAATGACAAACCACTCCAGTACTTTTGCCAAGAAAATCCCTTGGACGGTACTGGCACGCTGTAGCCCACGGGGTCATGAAGAGTTGGACATGTCTGAACAACAATGACAACTCTTGTGGCCTTGATCACATTCTGAGGCCATATGGTAGAAGGGAAAGATGGCTGGATTTGGAAACAGAGGCCCTGGGTTCAGATCCTGGCTCTGTCATTTACTAGCTATATTAAAGTCACTGACCCTTTCTGGGCCCATTTCCTCACCTGCAGACTGAGGAGTCTGGCCTGGCCGTCGTCTGAGGGGCCTTGTGGCTCTAAATGTGTGTCCTGCTTCACCTGTCGAATGAGCCCGCAAGTTCTTTGCGGTTGCTGAATGAATGAATGAATGAACCCTAGGTGTTGTATATGGTTATTTGATGTCTTCTTGGGGTTAGTTATGTCTTCCCAAGGGGATTACAAATTCCTTCACAGTAGTTAAGGAACCACAGCCTTTTTCTTCCTCAGATGGGAATTTCTCCATGTAATAAAACCTCACTTGTATTTTTTTTACTTGTATTTTGTGGATTTTGACTCAACAAAAGAAAAAAATTCCAATCCCTGTGTACTTTCTAATGTGATTTGTGGCTTTCAGTGGCCTTACTAGATCAAAAAGGAAACTGCTAAGTGTGATGTTTCCTGTACTAGACTTCCCGTCATTAACAGTCTGTATGATTGGATTATACAGTGGTTTGGCCGGCATCCATCTTGCTCTCCTCCTGGGTCTCCCGGCCTAAAGTCTCTCCAGCCCATCCCCCACTCAGCTGCCACACTGACCCCTCCCCCCTGCCCCATTCAATCAACTCCAGTGGTCCCTATTCCTTTCAGGATCTAATATAAAACCCTCTTTAAAGGCCCTTCTTAACCTGGTCCCTTGCTCCCTTTCCAGTCCTCTTACACCTAATACTCCCCTCCTTTCTCAGATTCATAGACACTGGGATCCTTGCTATTCCTTATACACAATGTTCCATCTCTGGACTGGGCATTTTCTCTGGTTAGTCCCCACACCTGGAATTTTCTCTTTCTTCATCTCCAACTCCTGGCTTTCCTGGCTTCCTACAAGTCCCAGCTAAAGTTCATCCTTTAATCTTAGTGTCTTCACTCTGAGACTACCTCAATTTAACCTGTATGTATCTTGTTAATATATTTTATTGTTCAGCCATTTCGGTTATGCCTGACTCCCCGTGACCCCATTTGGGGTTTTCTTGGCAGAGACACTGGAATTATTCGCCATTTCCTTCTCCAACTCATTTTTACAGATGAGTAAACTGAGGCAAACAGGGTGACGTGACTTACCCAGGGTTACATAGATAGTAAGTGCCTGAGGCCAGATTTGAACTCAGGAAGATGAGTCTTCCTGACTCCCTGGCCAATGCTCTATCCATTTTGTCTCTTCTACTGGACTATGAGCTCTTTAAAGGCAGGGTCTGGGCTTTTTTTTCTTTTTTTTCATTTCTTTGTATCCCCAACACTCAACACAATGCCGGGTACATAGTAGGTGCTTAATAAATGCTTGTTAATGGACTTGGGTGAGAATTTTGGACTGGGGAATCACAGAATTTCAGAATTGGAAGGCATTGTAATAAACCATTATGTGAACGAGAACTCCCTGTACTTCGTGCCCAAATGGTCATCCTCTGTTTGAAGATCTTGTGTAAGGAAGAAGTCACTACCTCTCATGGCCCCCATTCCAATTCTGGACAGCTCTCACCATTTAGTGAGTTTTTCTTTCCTCTCTCAGCTCCCATTCCAATTTTGTACAGCTCTCACCATTGGTGAGTTTTCTTTCTCTTAAGATTAAATCTGCCTTTGTACCTTGGCCTCTCTGCTCCTACTTCTGACCTTTGGTACCATGGAGAACAATCACGATCCCTTGTTTCACCAGGTGATAGTTTTTCAAATACCTGAAGTTTGTGATCGGGTAATCCCTAAGTCTACTCCAAGTTACCGATCAACACTTTCACCTGATCCTCACAAGGCATGACTTTTTGGCCTTTTGACATTCTGCTTGCCCTCCTAGAACCACCCTCTAGACTATTAATGTGCTTCCTAAATGTGTGCCCAGAATGGAATACAATATTCCCAAAGCATTCTGATTCGGTGAGACCGTCACTTTCTCATTCTTGCCTCTCAATGTAGCCTAAACTTTCATGACCTTTCATAACATACAACTGATTCACTTTGACCTTGTGGTCCACTATAACCCCCAGAGCCCACCCAGACAAACTGCTGTTGGAACACTTAGTTCTGGGTCCTAATTTCAAATGAATTATTTGTGAACCCTTGGGCAGTAGTAGTGGAGAGAGAACAGGACTCAGGGTCAGGTAGACTTGGGGTCCAATCTTAGCCCTGAAACTTACTCATGGCTCAACCCTGGGCAATTCGCATAACTCCTCTAAGCTACTTTCTTTATCTGTAAAATGAGGGATTTGTATTCAATGACCTCTAAGGTGCCTATGGTTCCTATGACCCCTCATTCTTCATCTGGAGAAGGAGGATTTGGGACCAGATCTCTGACATCCCTTCTCATCCTCCGCTTAGGGGTCTAGGACTCTTCTTTTTATGAATCCTTCCCAAGGCTTGGAGCAGAGCGCCAGACTCATTGGAGGTGCTCGACAAATCCTCATTGGACCGAGTTAAGAAAAATCTCTCCAAGGTGCTGCCTCCCCATGGAGGCTCACACACAAGGACAGCGGGGCTCATTGTGGAGGCCAGTGGGGTCAGAAATACCTCCCGGATGTTCTGCTGCTCCATCTCGTGCCTTTTGAGCATGGCTTTCCGTTTGAAGGAACGGCAGTGCTTATCATAGTACAGTCTCTGCTGGGTGAGGAGGTGGGCTTCCTCTTCGGCCTGGCTGTGCTGAAGGTTCTCCTTATGCTTGGATATACGCTCTTGCTTCTCTTTCTTGGGTGTGCTATGGTCCTCATTCATCTCCTGTACGACCACGAGACCACCAGGCCCAGGGAACAAAAGGAAACACATTCAATTGTGGTGAGATAACAGCATCGATTTAGAGCCACTGAGGGCTTTAGAGACCCCCTGATTTTAGAGATGAGGACACTGAGACCCAGCAAGGGAGGTGACTTGGCCCACGGTCACATAGCTAGGAAGTGTCTACAGAGGGATTTGAGCCCATGTCTTCCTGACCTGAGCTATTCCGCCATGCTGCTTCCAAGATAATATCTTCCAGGACACAAATGAAAGGTTGCTTGACTCAATATGCCTTCTGACATCTATGGTTCAGTTTAAGTCAAACTCAAACTAGTCACTTACTAGCTGTGTGATCCTGGGCAAATCACTTTACTTCTAAAGGCCTCAGTTTTTTCATCTGCAAAATGGAAAAGTTAGACTTGATGGCCTTTCCAACTGTATATAAAGGATCTTAGAATCCCCATCTAATTTGGGGCAAAAGCTCTTGTCAGGATATCTGTGGATTTGGGTTCCACTCCCCTATTCTACGGTCAATTACCTGGATGATTTGGGACAAGTCTGAACTCTCTGTACCTAACTTTTACCTGTAAAAGAAGAGGACCATATTATAAAGTCCCTAAGGTCCTGTCCAGCTCTAAAATTTGATGATCTGTGAGGTCACGTCCCCTCAAGTATTAAAATGCCAATGATGTGTAAAGTCCCTCTTCCAAACTTTCAAGAAGCAACACACAATTATGGCACAGTGGCCTCCAAAATGGAGGCTGTGCACAAGTAGTGGGTCATGGTAGGACCTCAAGGGATGTGTGTTCAACCAATCAGAGCATGAGAAGATGGATTAGATTGGATGGATTAGAGCTTGGGAAGATGGGTCACTGTCATTTCCCTACCCAAAAAACTCCAGTGGCTTCCCATTGACTCCAAGATCAAATATTATTTCACCTTTATCTCATCCTTTAAGAAAAAGCCTATTTATATGTAAATTTATAATGAACATAATTAATATACATAAGCATATATAATTTGCTGTTATACACAAATGCAATACTACATATATGTAGTTTATTAAAAGGTAAATGTTCACATATTAGGGGCAGATGCTCAAAAATATTTATTAATGGCCATATGCAATCAAAAAAGTTTGGCAACCACCCCTGTAGAGAACCATGTGGGAAATCCAAAAGCAGAAAAGACTTGGGGAAAGTAAGGGGACCAATGACTCAACTTCTGATCATCTATGTTGTTTCCAGTGCAAAGCCTGCTTTCAAAATGGCACCATTGATGACCTTTGCCTAATTATCTGCTTAGTTGAAATATATTTTGGATGGCCATATCCTTTACCTTCTTGTTTGTCAACATTTCACATTCTATCTCCATTCAAACTCCAAATCTAGGAAATTCAGACACTTTATCCCTTGCCTGTTGCACTGAAGGTCATTTAAAAAAAAGCAGTTTGCTTTTAGTGTGGAGGAGGGTTACAAGTCAGAGGTAAGCAGGGGTCCACTGATGGGGGCTTTCCAGTTTGCCCCAAGCTAAGTTTTCAAGGTATGGCTTCATAATTTTTGTTTATAGTGAATCCACAGATTGACATCCTCATGTTCAAATGTAGGTACAAAGACTCATTCCAAAGCCAAGTATAAAGTCATTTTTAGACTAACCATTATTTGGATTTATTTACCCTTTTGTTCTTCTCCACTGATGGGGATCATTGAGATTTGCTTCATTCTAAGAATCACTTACTTTAATCATGCCAACATGTTGATTGGTAAATACATACAAAAGTCCATTCTCTCCCCCCAGTTTTACTTTTGAAGGGGTTATTGAGTTGGTAGGAGAATGTCTTCCAGGTAGCATAGTGGACAGGGTTGGATCTGGAGTCAGGAAGACCTATAATTTTGAAACCTGCCTCAGACATTTACTCAGCTGCATGACTCTGAGGAAGTTATTTCATCTTCTTTAGCCTCAGATTGCTCATCTGTAAAATGGGGATAATCACCTACCACCCCCACACATCCCAAGGTTGTTAAAAGTGCAGAATGAAATCTTTCTTTTTCTTTTTTTGGCTAGGCAATGGGGTTAAGTGACTTGCCCAGGGCCACACAGCTAGTAAGCGTCAAGTGTCTGAGGCTGGATTTGAGAGAATGAAATCTTTCTAAGAGCACTTCAAAAACTTTAAGGTACTATACGAGAGCTACTTATTCTTTTCTTATCTATTTCTTTCTTTTCCCCTCCTGGGGCTGTCCTCGGTGGCTTAGGGTTTTTATTCTGCATTGCCACAGGAGAAGATGGGGAGATTTCAGGCTATGGTCTTTGGGTGTCCAAAGAAGGTTGAATCTAAAATGGTCTCTTGCCTAAGGCAAGGAAGACTGAAGCCCGTGTTCTTCAAGAGGATCTTTTCATTTTCTGCAAGAGCAGGACATGCTAACAGCAAAGATCTCAGTGCAATGAGAACAAGGATTAGGCTTCCTGGAGTCCCTGAAGGAAATGTTGCTGTAAGACATTCTAGGAGCATCTAGGTTGCTGCAATGATCCTTCTGTTTTAGCCATATCCTGCTACTAGGCTGTAAGAATTCTGTCATTCCCACTAGAATGTAAGTTCCCTGAGGGCAGGGCTATTTTGGCCTTTCTTTGTATCCACAATATTTAGTACAGTGTCCAGCACATAGTTTTGGTGTTGTTTGGTAGTTTCAGTTGTATCTGATTCTTTGTGACCCCATTTTAGGGTTTTCTTGGCAAAGATACTGGAGTGGTTTGTCATTTATTTCTCCAGCTCATTTTACAACTGAGGCAAACAGGGTTAAGTGACTTGTCCAAGCTTACACAGCTAGGAAGTGTCTGAGGCTAGATTTGAACTCATGAAGATGAATCTTTCTGATTCCAAACTCAGTGCTCTCTCCACTATGGTGCCCCCTAGCTGCCGGCACACAGAAGGCCCCTTAATAAATGTCTGCTGAAAGAACTGGTCATTCAAGTCAGCAACTCTCAAGTTTGTCTCTTTCACTTTGGTCTGCCTTTCCGGGACTTTTCCTGGCAGGTCTGAGACAGGGGCAGATCAAATAGAACTTTTCTCTCTCTGTACTTTTGATCAGAACTCAATAGAATTAAAGTCATAATAAAAGAGTGAGCTCTTGGCTCCCACCATTACATTAGACTTGACTAATAAGGCCTAGAGGCCCAGGCTGTTTTCTCTCTGCCCTGCCCCATCCCCCCAATACTTTGGACTGGTAGGGTCTTTGGTCACTTGCCTCCTTTATTTTTTCTTTGCAAAGCTTATATTGTTTCTTCTGACTTTCTAAGAAAGTTGTCAAGTCTTTCTTCTGCTGAGCCAAGATCTGTTGCTGGAACTTCCTTTCATCTGCTGCAGCCGCCTTTGCCTACAGAAAAAAAACAAAACCCAAAAACCCCCACTATGTTATTCAAGTAGAATCTAAGACAAATACGCCTCCAACCCAACACTTGGTTGTCTCTTTCCAAAGTGACACAGAAAAAGTGTCCTACTGCAAAGCCATTTGGGGACGATGATTAGAGACAGCAATAGAGAAATGTCCAGAATGAGTCTTCCTACTTCTGAACCAAGACAGAAATGTCAGATTTCATCAAAACTTTACTTTCAAAAGACGAAATTCTGATTACAGGAAGATTTATGCAAGCCAGCTATATATAAACAAGTGTCTATGGTACACCACCGACAAATTGACAGCATATGGGGGTGGAGGAAGGGAGAAAGAAATTGAAAGCTCCAGAGTGGGGTTATTAAAATGATGGACCATTTCAATGACATTTTTTTTTCTTCTTCTAAGAATCAAGTTTTGCCAGGATACCAGCAGTCCCTAACTTGGGAATAGGTTATTTTCCAAAAATTCATTGGTAAGCTCGGAATTCCCAAATCATTATCCAGAGAAATAATGTTGGAAAGAGTGGTTAGGTTCTGGGGCTAGCCTGTAAAAATCTATGTGACCCACAATGGACCAGAAATATAAGAGCACAATGCCAGGTATAATGATTCTATAGGAAGTCAAATTCAGAATCACAATTTGGGATTCCAGGTATATATCCTCCTGACTTCCCTAGAGACCAGGCCTCTCTATCCCTCCCTTGCCTTTAACCTTGTAAGCAAGCCATTGGCAGTAACTCTTACAGCCTGGGATAAGGGCTCCATTAAAGTTGGGGAGGATAAGGCCAGTGATGGAGACAGGGACTCTAGTGAGGGATATTAAGGCTTCCCCTCCTCCCATCCCCCTCCTTCCAATCCATCGCCATAGGTATACACAGAACATGGGAAGGGGTTGGCCCCTGACCTATGTATAGCTCTGCAAGACTCTGCAGGAAAGACAAAGGTGTACACGGGTAATGGTGGTGGATTTCTGGGCACCTAAGAATGAAGGTAAGATTTAGCTCTATCTCAAAAGACAGTACAGACCTAAGCCATCCTAGCTATTTTATAGTAATTGAAGAACTGGGCTGTGGATCAGGAAAGAGACTTTTGCAGGAAGAAATGAGAGGAAGGGAAGTGAGAATATGGATCTGAAGTCATCCCTGAGGGTGGGGGAGTGACAACCCTAGGAAGGGTTGGAGGAGCAGGTGGGGTGGCTGCCTTCCTCATTTTCCAGACCATCACCAGTGCTGACTCTGAAGACCCCATCCAAGACCTACGTGGGGGAGGGGAAGGTGAGAAGTAGATGTTGAGGGCACAGGAAATAGTCTCAGGGAGCAGAAGACCCAGTGGGGTAGGGGAAGTGGGGGGAGAAATCCTAAGTACTGGGGAGTAAAGAAGAGATCCTATGGCCGCAGGACCACTCAACTTCTATGAGACATTTAAGCCACGTATATGGAAAGTGGGTCCTGTGGGCAATGTTCACACCTCAAGGATTTCCTTGTAAATCATCTTTAGCAAAATAAGGGAGTTGTGTAGCTAGGGTTTAATTTTTTCTTAGGCTCTTGTTGCAATAAAAGTTAAATAAATACATATGTCTTAACACCATGCCTTGAAGACCTCAGGGCCAGGGTGCCATCGGGAGAAATAAGGTGACAGACTCAGGCTCCAGCCTGGGAGCATTTCCGCCAAGCGACCCGAAGGCCACCTAGAAAGCCAAAGTGTGGTTATGGAAACGCCTGTGAATGCATGCTAGCTGGCCCCAGTTCCAGCCCCTCTGGGTGCCCCCCTCACTGACCTCCTTCTCGATGATGGCCACTTGCTTCTTGGCCAGCTTCTCCAGCTCGATGGACGCATTGTTGGCGTGCGTCTCCACCTCCTTCTGCAGCTTGAGGCGGTGCTCGTCCATCTCGGCCTTCAGCTTGTTCTCCAGGGCAATCAGCTGCTTCTGGTGCTGGCGCCGCATCCGCTTATATCCTGACATCTGTTCCCGCAACTCGTTCTCCTGCTCATGCTCATGGATCTGCCGTGTAACCTACGTTTGTGGAAGAGGCAAAAGCCGGGTGAGGACAAGAGGGTTCATAGCATGGCAGGCTTAGAGGCGGAAGGGACCTCCAAGGCCATGGACTCAAGCCTCGTAAACTGACAGGTGAGGAAACTGAGGCCCAGGCAGGTGAAATCCCTTGTCCAAAGTCACAGGATCATAGACTTAGAGGGTGAAAGGACACCAGAGGCCATCTAACCCAACAGTCTCATCTTACAAATGAGGAAACTGAAGCCTGGGGAGGTGAGACAACTCAGTCACACAGCTAAATAGTATGTGAGGCAGGATGGGAACCCAGTTTCTCCTGGCTCTGGGCCTGGGGCTCTGCACCATGCCAAGCTTCAGGGCCATGACTGTGGGACACAATGGGACATCCTCGCAAGCTGTCAAGGAGAAGAGCTGATAAATGGGCCTGAACCTTCTGGCATGGTTTAAGTGGACCCTGTCCCCTAGCACAGTCATGGGGACCGCAGAACCCTTCTGAAGAACAGGAGTCTAAGAGTTAGAAGAAACTTTAGGAGTAATGTAGGCCATCCCGGATCTGGACAAACATCTCTGTGAAATGTCCCCAACACTCTGCCTGGACTGGAAGAACTCTGGTAGAGGGGACACTACCTTCCCCCCAGGCGCAGCCCCATCGCATCTTGAACAGCTCAGTATGAGGATTGGTTCCCCCCCGACGTTCAGCTAAAAACGGTCTCTTGGCAACTTCTACCCATTGTTCCTCAGGAGACAAACAGAACAAGCCTTCTTCCTCCTCTGTACAACAGCCCACGCCCAGTTCTTTCCCCTGAATTCTTGGATGGCAAAGTCCTCCTGCTCCCTAGCCATCCTGGTCACCCCTAAGGGATCCCAATTGGTCAACGTCCTTCCTAAAATGTGGTGCCCAGAATGGAAGGCAGTCTTCATGCCATGGGATCCCAATACTAGTTTATTCTTCATGTTGGCTTTTTGGGGGGATGTAAATTCTTCTTAATGTGAATTTAAAACACACATGCACGCAAACTCACAGCAGAGAAACACTGAAAACAAAAACAAAAACTCACTTAGAGGGGCCTGACAGCTTTCCCTTTTAAGCCACCTGCTCCATTAGAAAAACAGATGAGACATCATTAAGGTAATGAATGTATCCATGAAAGCTCCAAAGAGAAGGCTGCTTATATGACTTTCTGATATGGCTTGTTTAAAACAAACAAACAAACAAACAAAAAACATCCTACACTTAACAAACACCAAGTAAAACGAGCATTTCCATATATAAACCTGAATGCAAAAAGGGGATTGTACACGAGACTGTTGATCTCTATTCTATGCAGCTTATTTTTCCTCGTAAGTAACACTGAACATGTTCCTTTCTAAGCTGTCCTGATTGTCTGCGCTTCCTTCCGGCCTTTAGGGTTCTCTTTAGATATAGACTCGGCTTGGTAACTTCTCTCTCAGACCACCGTCTGTCATGGGTCCCCTAAACCCCATAGTTGTGGATCTTAGTTTTCCTCTTTCTGCCTCTCTTTTCTGTTTCCTAGATCTTCATTCAAGACTCTTACAGGGGTGGAGAACCTGTGGCCTTGAGGCTTTTTGACTGTTCTCTTAACATTCCCAATCACTCCCACCTTTATTTTCTCTCACTCATTTTATAAATGACTGAACTTCACTTGAAACAAAGAACCTCAGCAAGCATCCATTTTTGAACCGTTTACTTTTAACATTAATTTTTGCATATAGTATTTCCATAATTTCCAAATTAGTAGTTAACACTCTTTGAGGGCTCCACTATCCCTCCCGTTTTATAAATTCATCTGTATATTCTTTTACAGGCAGTACTGCACAGTGGAAGGCAGCTAGGTGGCACCATAGCACATGGTGCGATGGGCCTGGAGTCAGGAAGACTCATCTTCATAAGTTCAAATCTGGCCTCAGAAGGACCACTAGAGGATAGCTGGGTAACCCTGGGCAAGCGTCACTTAACCCTATTTGCCTCAGTTTCTTCATCTATAAAATGACCTAGAGAAGGAAATGGCAAACCACTCCAGTATCTCTGCCAAGAAAACCCAAATGGGGCCAGGAAGAGTTGGACCCAACTGAAAGAAACAACACTGCAGAGTGGATAAAGAGTCCACCAGATTGAGCAAGGAAGACCTGGGTTCATGGCCTACCTTTGCCACATCCCGTCTGTGGGACCCTGAGCAAGTCACTTAACATTTTAGTGTCTTAGTAACCCTCTAAGGTGATAAGCTTCAGATAAGGTAGGTGCTTACATGCATTGGTGGAGGGGTTTCCTCACCTGGGAGTATCCTATACCAATGAAGCCAATCTCTATCCTACTATTTTACTCGTTTTAATAGTGGATACAGTATTTCTGTCTCTGGGCTTTGGTTTTTTCCTTTTTGCTTTGTTTATGTCATCTAAACCTTTTCAAATCACATTGCTGATATTTTTCAGCAGTATCACAGTATTTCATTAGACTGATTTATTTGTTAGGTATTTTTCAGTTTGGATCCATGATTTACACGGAGTTGGGGAGCTCCTGGTCTGGAGGCTCCTTGCATGCACCTACACAACTGGGCTGTAAATTCCCAGTCTTACAGAGTTGTTGGGGGTGGTGGGGTGGTGGTGGTCACTGAGCCCTTGAGTAACTGGCCCAGGTTCACATTTGAAGAAGGACTAGGACCCAGGTCTTCCTCACTCATAGGCTAGATTATCCCAGACAGTCTTTCCCTAATATATCACAGGTTGTTCATTCATTCACCAACCATTGGGACCAGAGTTCATTTCCATTTTTTTTGGACAGTTACAAATAATGCTGCTATGTATATTTTTGAGCAGATATCTTCTAAGATACACTCCCAGTGTTATGGTAGATAGAATGATGGATTTGGGGTCAGGAAAATCTGAGTTCAGATCCTTCCTTAGGCACTTACTAGCTGTGTTACTCTGACCAAGTGCTTAGCCTCTGCCTTTCTCAGTTTCCTCATCTATAAAATGGCGACAATAAATAAATAAATACAAATAAAAAATAAACCAACCTCCTAAAGTGGTTGTGAAGAGAAAAATGAACTGATATTTGTAAAGTACTTTGCAAATCTTAGTGTTATATGAATGCCAACTATTAATATTAATTATTATTGTAATATTCCCAATAATGAGATCTCTCAGTCATCTTAGAAAAATCATGGATGACTATGCAAAGACCTCCTCATAATGTTTCCCGCACATCACATCAACCTTCTTCCGTCTCTTCATTCCCCACCCCTACCCCATAACTTGTTTCTCCTGGCCACATCCTTTCCTGTCTTTTCAGGTGGATGGGTCAAAGTGCTTTCAGGTACAAAGAGCACCTTGTTCACCTGCTTCCTTTAGAAGGTGTCCCTGTGTGCTAGACTGAGGCCTTTGGAACAAAGGCATGCTGTTCTGTAACTGGAGAGTATTATCAAAGTACGCCGTTAAACATTAGCTGATCTTTGACAACTTTCCAGCTGAAACTCACTCTAAGGTTCGTGTTCATTTCTCTGGCCTAAGTAGACACAATCTTCTTTAAAGTGTGGAGAATAAGAGCAGAAGAACAGATGAAGAATTAAAAAAACAGAAAATGCCCTTGGAAGTGCTGCTCATTTGAAAGGGGAGCATCTACAGAAAAACTGTCCATTGACTAGCAAACAAAAGAAAATGGATAATCTATTTATAGGCCATAGATGAATGACTTTAAAAACTGGGGCGGGGGGGAGAAAGGATAAGGTCAGGATTATACGTCTAAGTTTCACTTTCTTGTGAATACAAAGGCTTTCACCTTATTTAAACTCATTTCTTCCAAAAATAATCTAATCTACGGAAGAGAAACTACCCATCTCTCCTGAATCTACCTGTCTCTTGGACAGTGATGGCAATGCAAAGTGGACATCCTCAGGCAGTGATTGTCAGAGATGCAGTCTAAAGAGACAGTTCCTTTCTTTTTCTCAACATTGTTAGAGACAGCTGAGTGGCCCAGTGGATAGAGCAGTGGGCCAGCCTGGAGTCATGAAACTTCAGTTCAAATCCAGCCTCAGACACTTACTAGCTGTGTGACCCTAGGCAAGTCACTTAACTTTAGTTTGCTCATCTGTAAAATGGGACTAATAATAGCAATTACCTCCCAGGGTTGTTGTGGGGAATCAAATAAGAAAATAAGTATAAGGCACTTACCACAGTGCCTGGCACATAGTAAGTGCTATATAAATGTTAGCTATTATTATTATTATTATTATTATTAAAATCCAGCTTTAAACACTTAGAACAAGGGTGGGGAACCTGCAGGCTCAAGGCCATATGTGGCTCTGTAGGTCTTTAAGTGTGGCCCTTTGACTGAATCCAAACCCCATGAAATTTAAACTCAGTCAAAGGGCCGCACTTGAGGACCTAGAGGGCCACATATGGCCTTGAGGTTGCAGGTTCCCCACCTCTGATAGAAGCTGTGTGACCATAGGCAATTCATTTAACCTTGGTTTGCCTCAGTTTACTCAACTGTAAAATATGGATTATAATAGTACCTATCTCCCAAGGTGGTTGAGGATCAAATAAGATAAAAAATTGTAGGACAAACAAAAACAAAAACAAAAAAATCCAAACAAATGCTTAGCTAAGTGTTCTGGCTCAGAGTAGGTGCCATATAAATACTTATCCTTTCCCCTTCCTTTATCCTCCCCATTTTTGCTTCACTTGCCATAAAGCCAAACGTGTCCCAGCCAGCTCTGAAGCTAACATTAGACTTTTAAAATGGGAAGGGCAACAGGTAAGACATTCCATTGATGATCCTCCAATAAGCTCTGTTTGAAGTGGTTGCTTCCCCAGACTGCCTGTCCTGAAGGGGCTGGGCAGAGTCTCTCCCAGACCGTGTTCTAGTCACCAGCTGGCTGGCACCACTGCAGGCCAGATCCCACCCGACGGAAACATGTTCAGACACCAAGGAAACTCAGCAAAGTCTCACTGCCCAAATACAAGTTGCTTCTGGTTAGGAGGGT